CCCCGATGGTTGGCAGAATGTTGTGAGGCTTCAGGGCTTTGAAAGCATCCAGCACGGAGCCATATCGCAGAAACTTCATGGTCATCGAGCCTCTGGTTCTGATGCTTTGAGAACACTTGCAAACTGCTGCGCGCTTCGAAGGCAGTGGCGCAGCCAAGGCACCGAAGGGTCCGAACAGCAGCATCTCCTGCAACATCGGCAAATGCACATGCCAGCTACGAGCATGTGTTCAACCCATGCCATGGTAATTGCTGTTCGAACTGAAACCTAGCGACAGAATAGGCATGCACTTGGCAAGAGTAGTAGCCTCAGACGGATCGGAATGGCACAGTGGCAGCACCAACAGCAGCAATGTCACGAGGGAGGTTGAAGAGCATGTTCTCAAGCACCGATGCAAAAAGCTTCCCCAAAGTCTACGATCCAAGACCCTGGAGAGATCCTTCCCACCGATGGTGCGGTAGTCCAGGTGGGGCATGGACATGGGTGGAGCGCCCGGAGCACCCGGGGCGTACACTTTCACCTGGTGTCACAGCCAGTGATTTGGCACGATGCCCGCCGTGATCGAAGAGGCTACGACTACGACTTCGATCCTCCACCCAAGTCCAAACTGCACTGCGACGCCTTGTGTTGGGCCACCACCTCCGGATTCTGGCAAACCGCCCAATCACCTGTCACTGGAAGGGCCATGTAGCCATTCACCTGCCGGAAGGAGACTTCTCAACATGGGCTGATCCGAACATCTCGAAGACTCAGTGACTCGGCTGTGCTGATGCCGGACGGGCTGTGTCGACAGAGACAGATAAAAGTTTCTGCTGACCCAGACCGATGTCGATTGATCCATGAGACTTGCAGGACTTGAAAGCGTGCATGCTGCGGCACCTCCGGGATGCCAGCTTTCTGAAGCATGAGCAGCGCCCAACCACCGGCGCCCACGAAGACGAACTTGGCCTGGACTTGCCAACAAGACAGTGCTGGCCTCGCGAGACAACCCCCTCCGCCCCAAAGGCAAGAGCCTCGCATGCACCCCGCAACTCCCAGAGCATCGACCGTTCAGTGTATTCCACCCCTTCCGTGCCTTGTTGTAGGCCCACCCAGAGCCTGCGGGAGGCTCCAGGGAAGCAGCTAACGCAGATGCACAGAACCCGCACGGCACCTGCTCCATTCACACAGGTGGTCACAGTCCACTTGCCGTCGGAGCCCTTCTTCAGGTCCCTTACCTGCCCGCACACAACTTCTCGTCAAGACATCTAGTCAATCTAGTCTGGAAGCCCCTATGCGACGAAGTTACAGAACCCTCCTCCCGACTTTGCAGACGAGTATCGCATTGCTTTTTGCAGCTTCAGGACGGATATAGGTTAAGCCCTAAGAGCCGCGATCACGAAAACTACCGATCAGCACAGCCAATCACACATTCTTCTATACTGCTTACGGCGTACTCAGACCTTCTAAATTAAATATTCAGTCGAAAGTTTGAGCTCACCTGCCTCAGTGTGCAAACGAAGGTCGCCACCTAAGATTTCGGATCTTCAGCCCATCACAAGGAGCAACATGGGATACTTGCCGCCCGAACTCACAGGGATTTTGACGCTCACAGCTGGGTGATCCGGGCGGGGTTAGTGACAGCTACGGATCTAGACTCTAGACGAGCATGGACAGGTTTGTCAAGACAGTGGACGGCCCGATTCTCCTTCACACGACACTTGTCAAATCTTGCCGCTTCGGCACCAAGCTCCTGGAAGGCCACGATCTTGGCCTTCGAGAAACGGATGGGCAAAAGTGGCCTTGTCATGAGTGTTCAAAACGGGCCTTCGTCAAAGCACCATAGTCCACGTCCGTTCCATGAGGCACCTATGCAGCTGCATCCTACTGTGAGTCTACATCTGCGCTTCTCGCCTTCTCGCCTGCCGCTCAGAATATCCCAGAACCCCACGCAAACTGCAACACAACTGCTTCGAGCTGTGAACTGTGGATGTTCGAAATCGCTGCATCATCACGAATAACTGTACCACAATCCAAGTGACAGGCCTTCGTCATGCAAATAGGTTCGCTTTCATCGCGGCCCTTCATGATAAGCGGAGCCCATTCCTTGGCCTTCGCCTGCACAAACCCGAGAATCATCCAACATCGGATCTTGCTTGAAATGAGTGATGACATGCAGCCACATCACCGCGGCAAACTCTTGCCACAGGCTTCAAAACTACCCCTAGCCCTAGTCGTCTTGGGAAGCTTGCATAGTATAGGGCCTAGCTAGTGACTAGTGGTTAGACCGGAAGTGTTGTATATGACGGCTCCTTCTCCTGTGGGAGGCAGATCTCCATGCTCTTGAAGAGGGGGTTGTCCTGCAAACAAAGCTCTGCAACTGCCCACAACACACTATTCATGATTAATCGCTTCGATGCTGAGAGTTTCGCAGAGCGCGAAACCCACCGGCATAACTTTCAGCAAAAACATATGGCATCATTCCTGCATCATTATCATCACGACCGTTGCCCACTTCAGTGGCAGTCTCACTCCAGATTCCGAACATGCTTCAGGAGCTCGAGCGTCCAAGTGCATGTCTCGACGACTGGAAGTCTTGGCCTATCGACCCTCTTCATCGCCCTCTTCAACCCACATCTGCAAAAACGGTTATGAGAAAAACTGCGGGAAGGGGGTGAGCAGGCCTTCATGGCTTCGTAGCGCT